AGCCACTCCTCAGAAGGAAGGTTGGGCAATCCTACTTCCGTAGTGATACTGCCTCGGAAACCCAAGAAGGGGTCGCTATGAGTCAGGGCTGACTCCACAGCACATAACAACAACAACAACAACAACATCAACCAGCAATATATAAGAGTTCCAGTTTCCCTGCAGCCTCCCCCACATTTTTTTTTAATTGTTGCCATTTTTAGAGAAATGAGAAATGGTATCTCATTGTAGTTTTGATTTGTATCTCTCTGATGGCTAAAAAATGGGAAGTTGTCAAAAATGAAATGTAATACCATAAAGATCAATATCTTAGGCATTTGTGAAGTAAAATGGAATGATACTGGCCATTTTGAATCTGAGAAACATATGGTCTACTATGACTGGAATGACAAATTAAACAGGAATGGTGTTGCATTCATTGTCAAAAAGAACATTTCAAGATCTATCCTGAAGTACAGTGCTATCAGTAATAGGATAAAATCCATATGCCTACAAGGAAGACCACTTAACACTACTATTGTTCAAATTTATGCACCAACCACTAAAGCCAAAGATGAAGAAATTGAAGATTTTTACCAACTTCTGTAGTCTGTGAAAGCTGGAAAAAAAAAGAGGATGCATTCGTAGTTGGAAAATATGGCCTTGGTGATAGAAATGATGCTGGAGACTGCATGATAGAATTTTGAAAGACCAATAAATTATTCATTGCAAATACCTTTTTTTAATAACATAAATGGTGGCTATACATGTGGATCTCACCACATAGAATACACAGAAATCAGATCTACTACATCTGTGGAAAGAGGTGATGGAGAAGGTCAACATCATCAGTCAGAACAAGGCCAAGGACTAAGTGAACAGACCATCAATTGCTCGTATCGAAGTTCAAGTTGAAGCTGAAGAAAACTAAAACAAGCCTATGGAAGCCAAAATACGACCTTGAGTATATCTCACCTGAATTTAAGAGACCATCTGCGGTGTAGTTAATTACTTAGTGTGGCTTTCCTATCCATAAGTCTTTGTAAACTCCAAGGTCGGATTTGCTATGAGCAACTGAGGAGCTCCTGATTACTAAAGTTGTCCACCTGGAGTATTTCTGTTGAGAGTGGCACAAAACAATGTTCTGGGAGGTTCCCACTCTCTCTCAGGTGCTTAGAGTTCTGATGCTGTGATTGGCTAGTTTGACCACTCTGCTGGGCTCAAAATGAGGCCTCCTACAGGCAGAACTCTCTCTGACTGATGGTTGAGGAAGATGTGCTGCTGAAAGAGACATGCGCTCCTGAAAGAGACACATGCTGCTGGGAAAGAGACGCAAGAGACACACATTGCTGAGACGCCGAGGGACATGCACTGCTGCGGGAGAGACTGTGAGAGACTTGGCTGAGAGATGGTGGGCTGGGAGAGAGACTGAGCATTTTTTCCTGAACTTGAATTGTAGCCTGGTGCTTCCCCAATAAACCCCATAATCTGTGAGTTCTGTGTGGCCACTGCAGCGAATTATTGAACCCAGGAGAGAGGTGGTGGGGACTTTGGGAGGAACGGTTGGTGAAAGGGCTGGAGGGAGGCAGCATGTTTGGCCTGGCAGGAATAGGCCTTGGGTTATTGATGGTGTCTCTGTCTTCCTTTTGAGGGGGTTAGAAGAGGTCGGAATATGTGGCCTCCTTGCCCTTTTTGCACCATCTGAAAAATAGATTTGACACATTGAACACTAATGACCAAAGACCAGAGGAATTGTGATATGACATCAAGAACATCACACATGAAGAAAGCAAAATGTCATTGAAAAGACAGTAAAGAAAGAAAAGACAAAAATAGATGATCAGAAGAGACTGAAAATTGCTCTTAAACGAAAAGTAACTAAAGTAAAAGGAAGAAATGATGACATAAAGCTGAACAGAAGATTTCAAAGCATGGCTCAAGAAAACAAAGTGAAATATTACAATGAAATGTGCAAAGACTAGAGTTAGAAAATCAAAGGGGAAGAACACGTTTGGCATTTCTTAAGCTGAAAAATTTGAAAAAAAAAAAATTCAGATCCTTGAATTGCAATAATGAAGGATTCTATGGGTAAAATAATGGTGCAGGAAGCATCAAAAGAAGATGGAAGGAATACACAGAGTCACTATACCAAAGAGAATTTGTCGGTGTTCCACCATTTCAGGAGGTGGCATCTGATCAAAAACGATGGCACTGAAGGAAGAAGTCCAAGCTGCAGGGAAGGACTCAGTGAAAAACATGGCCCCAAGAACAGACAGAATACCCATTGAGATGTTTCAACAAATGGATGCCACAATGGAAGGTGCTCACTTATCTAATCTGACCAACCAACTAGAAGAGATCCATATTTGTGGCCATTCCAAAGAAAGATGATCCAATAGAATGTGGAAATTATTTAACTATCATTAATATCACTGAAGTAAAATTTTGCTGGAAGTAATTGAAAAATGGTTGCAGCAGTACATTCACTGGGAACAACTGCCAGAAATTCAAGCTAGATTCAAAAGAGGATGTGGAACAAGGGATGTTATTGCTGATGTCAGATGGATCTAGGCTGAAAGCAGAGAAAACCAGAAAGATGTTTGCCTGTGTTTTATTGATTGACTGTGTGGATCATAACAAATTATGGATAACATTGCAAAGAATGGGAATTCCAAACACTTCATTATGCTTATGAGGAACCTGTACATAAACATAGAGGCAGTCATTCAAACAGAACAAGGGGATACTGCATGGTTTAAAATCAGGAAAGGTGTATGTCAGGGCTGTATCCTTTCACCATATCTATGCAGTCTGTATGCTGAGCAAATAATATGAGAAGCTGCAGAAGAACATGGCATCAGAATCAGAAGAAGACTCATTAACAGCCTGCAATCTACAGATGACACAACCTTACTTACTGGAAGTGAAAAAGACTGGAAGGCACTTACTGATAGAAATCAAAGACTACAGTCTTCAATATGAATTGCACCTCAACATAAAGAAAACAAAAAAAATGCAACTGGAATAGTGAGCAATAACATAATAAATGGAGAAAAGATTGAGATTGCCAAAGATTTAATTTTATTCGGATCTATAATCAGTGCGGGTGGAAGCAACAGTCAAGAAATGATGTGACGTATTGATTGTATTGGGAAAATCTGCTGCAAATGACTTCTTTAAAATGTTAAAGAGCAAGGATGTCATTTTGAAGACCAAGGTATACCTGATCCAAACCTTTGTCTTCATTAGCCTCATATACATGTGAAAGCTGGACAGTGAATAAGGAAGACTGCAGAAGATTTGATAAATGGAGAAAAGATTGAAGTTGTCAAAGACTTCATATTACTTGGTTCTACATTCAACACCAATGGGAGCAACAGTCAAGACATCAAAAGACGAATTGTATTGGGCAAATCTGTTGTGAAAGTCCTCTTTCAAGTGCTGAAGAGCAAAGATATCTTCTTGAAGACTAAGGAGCACCTAACCCAAGCTATGGTATTTTCAATTGCTTCATATGCATGTGAGAGCTGGACGATAAAAAAGGAAGTATGTTATGCCAATTGAGCTTGATGTCCCCTGCGACTATGGTCCCAAGCCCACAGGTTCAACTACTTGGTCCCTCTGGGTAGCTGGCTGTGA